TGGATTTGGTTGGATTTGGGTGGATTTGGGGTGGATTTGGATGGATTTTGGGTGGATTTGGATGGATTTGGATGGATTTGGTTGGATTTTGGGTGGATTTGGCCTCCAGGAGGGAACGTTGACCCTGGATTGGGACCCAACAGAGGGGGGTTGGTTGGAAAGTTCCCTCTTGGAGTGGCCCGATCCCAACGTGTGGCTTTTCCCTGGATTTTCCGGGAGCAGGGATCGGGCAGGAGCATTTCTTCAAGCGGATCGAGGCCGCTCATTGCATGGCCTGTGACATGTTGATCCCGGCCCAGAACCACCTGCTCCAGAGGCACCTCCGATCCGCCGACCACAACCGCAACCGCAGGGTGAGACCGGCAATTCCGGACAGCGGGAATTCCGGAGAGCGGGAATTCCGGAGCATGGGAATTCCGGAGTGCGGAGGGCTTGGATATGGCTCTGGAATCCCACTGGGAACCATCTGCCGAGCCAGAGCCGTGGGATGGGCTGGGCAGGGCTCGTCTCCTTCCTTAGGAGGTGGAAAAATGGGGAGAGGGGCAGGAAAAGGGGGCGGGAAAAGGGAAATCGGAGCCTTTTTGGGGGGATGGAACGAGGTCCCGCAGGGGAGGGGCTGCCTCATTAAATATGCAAAAATGCAAATGAGGGGGGGCTTGGAGGGCGTTTGGGGAAGTGAGAAACGGGATGGAGTCGATGGATGAGCTGGCCTGGGATGGGAAGGGATTGGGATGCCAGGGATGGGGACGCGGGAATGTCGTTGGGCTCCTCCGGAGCGGCTCCATCTGTGAGCGTGGGACACGTTATCCAGGCTCAGTCCCGGGAGATCTGGGGGATGTTAGGGATAGGGTTAGGGTTGGGATGCTGGGGATGGATTAGGGTTAGGGTTAGGGTTTGGGGTTAGGGTTAGGGTTGGGATGCTGGGAATGGGGACACGGGAATGTCGTTCGGCTCCTCTGGAGCGGCTTCATCCCCAAGTGTGTGACACGTTATCCCCACCCAATCCCGGAAGATCTGGGGTTAGGGTTAGGGTTTGGGGTTAGGGTTAGGGTTAGGATTGGGATGTTGGGGATGGGGACGTGGGAATGTCATTCGGCTCCTCCGGAGCGGCTCCGTGTCCGAGCGTGGGACACGTTATCCAGACCCAATCCTGGGATATCTGGGGGATGTTAGGGTTAGAATTAGGATTTAGGGTTAGGGTTAGGGTTAGGATTTAGGGTTAGGGTTAGGGTTAGGGTTAGAGTTAGGGTTAGGGTTGGGATGTTGGGCATGGGAATGCAGGAATGTCATTCGGCTCCTCCGGAGCGGCTCCATCCCCGAGCATGTGACACGTTATCCAGACCCAATCCCGGGATATCTGGGGGATGTTCAGCTGATCCACAGCTTCCCCCAGGGTTTGACTTGGTGGAAGTGAGGCAGGTGCTCCATCCATCCATCCATCCATCCATCCCCGTTTTGTGGGATGGGAGAGCGGCTTTCCCAAGCCCTGGGAAGGAGGAGGAGGAGGGAACCCAAATTCCCGATCCCATTGGAATTCTCCCCCTCCGGCCTCACTCCGTGCCCATCCCGCTGCAGATGGCTGCGGAGCAGTTCAAGAAGACCAGTTTACACGTGGCCAAGAGTGTCCTGAACAACAAACACATCGTCAAGATGCTGGAAAAATACCTCAAGGTGAGTCCGGGAAAACGGCGGCGCCGAGCGCCCGGAGCGGCCTCGTCCCGGAGCGTCGGCACCGGCGGCTGCCACTCGCTGCCTCCTCATCCTTAAAAATCCTGGAGCTCTTTCCTCTGCAGGCGCTTTGACCCCTCCTGGGGGATTTTTGGGGAATTTTTTTCCCCGGTGCCCCGCCGGCATTCCGGGCGCCCGCGCCGGGATCGCGGCCCGGAAACGGGAATTAGAGCGACCGGAACGCCAAAGCTGGAGCTTCCCAAAGCCGGAGCTTCCCAAAGCTGAAGCTTCCCAAAACCCCCCCTCCGAGCGAGGCCTTGGGGGGGACACCACAGCCCCTCGTCCGGGGAGGGCAGGAAGATTCCTGCCGGGATTGGGTCCGACCTGGATGGCTCCCGACCCACCTGGAGGGGAATTCTCCCCCATTTCCGGAGCCGGGGCAGCTCCAGGAGTGAGGAACCCCCCCAGGATCGGGGGGTGCATCCCATTCCCATGACAAACCCTCCCATTAGCCCCCCACTCCCTTTTTTCCCCTCCTCCTCTTCCCTCGGGAAGCACAGCCCGGCCGACCTCCGGAGCCGAGACGGAGCGCGCGGAGGGGTCGGGATCGGGATTGGGATTGGGAATGGGATCAGGGTCGGGATCGGGATCGCTCGAGGCCTCGCCGGCGCCGGGAATGGCAGGAGACGGAGCCGGGAAGGGCCCGCGGGGTCTCCGGAGCACGGGGGGATCGCGCTCCGAGCGCATCCGGAGCCGAATCCCGGTGGGTTTAACGGGCGTCCGAGAGAGAGGAAAACTCGCCTCCTCCTCCTCCTCCTCCTCCTCCTCCTCCTCCTCCAGGCGAAGAGGAAAAGAAGCGCCTTTGGCTCCTTGTTGTTCCCTGGGAATGCGGGAACAGCCCCGGATCCGGCAGGAGGCCCCTTGTCTGCAGGCAGGGGCAGCAGGTGCCCGCGTGTGCCCCCCGTCCCGGGGGAGCGGCCGATCCATCCCCTTCCCGGCTTTGGGAGCCGGATCCCAAAAATAGGGAAAAACTGCGCCTCCAACCTCTGGGGACAGGGAAAAGGGATGTGGAGCGCAGAGTTGGCCAGGGAGGATGGGCAGGTCCTGTTAGCCTGGCATGGGATGGCAATGCCCTGGTATCCTGGCATAGGATGGCCATGTTCCAATTATCCTGTGTCCCGTTATCCTGGCATAGGATGGCCAGGTCCTGTTATCCTGGCATAGGATGGCCCTGTCCCGTTATCCTGGTATAGGATGGCCCTGTTCCCGTTATCCTGGCATAGGATGGCCCTGTCCTGTTATCCTGGCATAGGATGGCCGTGTCCCCTTATTCTGGCATAGGATGGCCGTGTCCCTGTTATCCCAGCGTGGGATGGCCATGTCCCCATTATCCTGATGTGGGATGACCGTGTCCCTGTTATCCCAG